ATTTAGAAGTTTGAATCAAGCGACTCTTATAACACACACAACTAATAGCTCGTCTGTAAGAATACAATACTTTTAATTAACAACATTAGTACACATATGTAGTTGACACTGATTAATAATATTTTTATCTAACCTACATATTATCTCAAACTGACATATGTCGATTTAGAATCGACATAAATTCCAAATTGACATACAACAATATGCAGTCCATTTGCTGAAGCAAATTATCTTGCTGAACGATGATAGGGTAGACGAAAATCGACCAATAACTAAAATACAGGCAAAGTACCCTAAGAATATCTTAAGAGCTAAGAAGGCCCTAATATTAACTATCCAATTATTGAATCTCACTGTCCATTTGGTGAATACCAAATAAACCTAACCAAGACAGCAATCAAAGAAATCTCGATTTTCGCTGTAGCAAGATAATTGTTGGGATTGTTAAAGGATCGGGCTAGCATTAACCAGTAAGAGAGCTTGCATCAAAAAACTTGTTGAAAAGTAATGGGGTGCTAGTTTATCTATCACACATGTAATTATGAAGCAATAAAGAAATAAGACATTTAACCTTGACGCATAATGATTGGGATATATACAGACAGTATGATATCATCACCTCAAGCCACATTTTAATTTGGATTGATTAAGTGTTTTCAGATCATTTTTGCAAAGTGTTAGCATAAACAATAGGATAACTGGGGTAGAGTATATAAATACTCATATGATTGTATAAATTTTATCTCTTTCTATAAAACAAGTATCAAGTATATATATTGAGTACCATATTAAATTGGAGCATCCATCCACATCTCAACACAAGATGCTCATTCCACCTGCCAATTTTATAGAAGACTGGATTGTTGTTGATGTCCCAATGGATTAGATAGGGACCTCGCCTGGGTCGGCTGTTTTGAGGGATTGCAGGAGTTGAAGCTACCCCAGGATTCGGATTTGCAAGGTAAGGAATAGCTGAAGTGGAAAGACCAATCCCAACACATTCAATTCTTGGATGGATTCGTTGAACAAAAGCAATTTTATCTAAGGCATTGTCGCGGTCTATTGTGTTATTAAAAAACACCTACAAGAATTCAGATCTGATAAGCACACCATCTACATTTTTAAAGCAGAAATTAAATATAATTACCTCAATCCACACGTTTGGTGGTGGATATGGATTGGAAATGGGGTATAACCGTTGTAAAAGCGCCGGCCTCTGAAACCATATGCCAAGGTCAGGTCGAAGATGGGCCCCTTGTACGATACATATTACATTAGATCCTGTAGCCCAATTTGGATTATGTGTCACGACTGAAACGCCTAGTCTTGTATGTAATTCTTCTTTAGTCAGCCCGTCAAACTAATAATAATTCGGTAAGATTAATAAATGATATTATGTAGGTGTGTAAACTAGAGTGAAACTTACTTTGATGAAAAGCTTGTTCCCAATTATTTCTGCATTATATTTCTTATGTATTGCTTCATATATACTTACACCAGCTTCATCCAGTCCAGGAAGATTTACTGTGATGATATCATTATTTTGCTTTTGCTTTTGTTTCAATACTTCTTCAATCTTCATAAGGATCTTAATCTATCATGATTGTTAACCATACTCTTGAAATCGTTTTTAAACAGTCTTAAACACTACTTAAATACCATATTGATTTTTGATATATTGATTTTTGATATGGTGTACCCAAGGTACAAAAGTAACAAATCTGCAAACCTGTGAATCTGAGTACCTGACCTACCAAAATTTCGCAGGTCAGGTGTCCGTTGTTGTGACACAACTATATTCTGACCAACGAAAACTTTGCAATGTTTGTGTTCACATGCAGATTTTGCGTTTCCCTATATGGTCAAAAATATTTGGTATGTTTCCTGATAAAGGCACCCTGCTCTAATAAGGAAATTACTTAGGGGTAAATAATTTTCGATAGACTTGTAGTTAAAAATGAATTGTAGCATTATAGCAGCTTTCAAAATTATAGAAAAAACCCCTGAAATTTTGTACACACCGTCTCTTGACTGCGAAAATTTCGATTACTCAACAA